AACAGGGGAAAAATGCAAACTGAAAATGTTCATAACACCATTCATACTCCGACACTTTCTGAAATAGCTGCAATAACTACACTTTGAGGAAAATAACCAAAAACCTGCCTCATAAATGTTTTTTTTTTTTTTTTTTTTAAATCAATATCAAATCTCCTGTGTTGGTGGATTGGTTTATTTTCTCGCAAGATGTTTTTTCAGTAACTTTCAGAAACAATAATGCACACACACGAGGCAACGATGATAACCAACTTTGCAAAGAAGAGTGCTTATGATTCAGACGACATCGCTGCATGACTAACACGTGCTGACACGAAAAGCATGTACGACCATCCACATACAAGTGACAAGTGCGTAACAGTGCAGAAGCTGAGTGAACACATAAAGCGCAGAAATTAAACGGCAAAAAAAGCAATCATTTCCAAGGGAGGGATCAACTGAATTTTAACCTTAACAAAACAGTTAGCAAATGCCCAGTTAAGGTTTTTGGTCTTGGCTATTTTGTCTTTGAGGTTACTTTAGACAATAATGTGGCAACATTTTAATCCGATGAAGATTCAGCTATGATCAAACTGTTGTCTGTTTAAACTCATGACTCAAAAGCTCCTTGATTGTTTTTTTTTTAAATTTAGTGTCACATTCTTAAATCCAGGAGCACCAAGCCATTTGATTGTATTGCTTTTATCCCCTCAAGCAGAAATAATGCACATTAAGTCAATTTGCAGAAAGAAAAAAAAGTGCAAGTGATGGAGAGAGTGTGACAGAGCACAAAAGATTTTCATTTCACCAAAACTACAAAAATCAATCGAGAAGCCTCCGGTCAATGCAAGCACGACAATTATCCAGAACGGCGGAAGTGCCCTTTAACAGATCCAGAGACTAATTCGTTTTGACTGAACCAAATGGACGGGTGGGTCTGATTATCTCGCTGCACGCAGCTGCTCTTCCACAACACACGTGAATTCACACACACACACACACACAGAGACACACTCAGAGGGCTATACATGCACAAATGCAACATCACCGATACACTCATGCAAATGTGCAAACAGACACACACACTCATATTTAAACCCTCGTCTGAGAGCATTAGTATCTGAATGGATTGATCAGCATGCCTGAGCACATCTGAGCTCCAGCCGACGGAACAGAGGGCGATCACCTCGGGAAAAAAAAGCTTCTGTTCAAAGAATGAGATTATCGATCGATTCAGAGTGAAACTTGGTTTAAGCTGCCATCTTAAATCTGACACCGTTTCAATGTCCTCATGTTTGAAATGTTAAGCACATTAAGAAGACATTAATATGAATAGGCTGGAAGATGTCCTTGCTGCTAAGATACAAAATGTGTGAAAATAAGATATAAAACATGTGCTTCCTCGATCTTCCTGACTCTATTCTATCAGGGAAGTTCTTGAAAGGATGCTGTTATGTCTAACAGTTGAAACTTAATCAAAAACATTAATCAAAAAGTAATCCAGTAAATAAGCAGCAAACATGGAGGAATTCTTTTTAAAACCACCCTAGGAATGAAAATAAAACTACAACATTCAAAAGTGATATTAGCACAATGGTCAGTCAGTTATGATAGGCTTGGTTATATAAGTATCAACTTTCAATATGTTGACCAATTAGTCCACACTTGATATTTGATGGTTTTGTATCTAAGTTCAGAGTCTCACTGATTCACTGACTACAGTAATGATGAAAAACAACACTTGGTTTGTTTACACTAATGTAAGGAAATGCATCCTATTTCTCTTTCAGAAAGTCATGTTGTTGTTGATGACCAAATAAGTATTTTGGCACAAATAACTCAGGAAAACTAAAGAATAAAGAAAATGTCATCCCTGCTTTACCCTATATTTCACTCATGAGCTTTACTCCCAGCCCATTTCTGAAGTGTTGAAATCAGGATCAGAAATACTTTATGAATCCCAGAGGGAAATGTGGTCGTTACAGTTGCATTAAAACACAATATAACAGTAGAAATATATATACAATCAAAATATGAATAAAATAGGATTGTAAGTGAGATATAAAGCAAAGCAAGAATAAGAGTAAACACAATTAACATCAAAACATGAACAACAAGCATGTAAAGCATTTTAGAAAAGAAAAGAAAAACTAAGCTATGCATGGCAGCTTATAACCCAATTAGCCGCGCTGTTTCAATACATTTTTAGTACTTAAAAAAACCAAAGGGTTCATTAAGACAACATGAATGGTCAGCTTTAAACAGCTAGTAGATGTACCGTGAAACAGATGCTTAAGCGTTATTTAAAACTCAGACACATGGCTACAGAAAATCTTGACCCTTATTTTAAAGGGTTACTGTAGCTTTGATTGAAAACAGATGCTTGAGGGAACCTAAAAACCAACTCCTTGAGAAACAAACAAACAAAACGGTGCTTAAAACAGACTGTAGAGGTTAGCTTGAAACATCTTCGATAGAGTATTTTAAAGTGACATATAGGGGTACCTTGACGCAGCCACCACAGGAAACCCTGACACGTACATTAAAGGGTACCTCAAAACAGACAATACCTTGTACTTTCGTTGCCATGACGGCAGTTTTGCATGACTTTTCCTGAGATACCATACCAACCATTGTATCACGATAAGTTGAATTAGCAAATAAGTTTAGTATCTTATAAACTTTTGTGTTTCATTCTTGGAGACTAAAGTTCACTGATTTTAACACGATGAGAGAAGAAGAACAAACAGTTATTAACAGAGAAACTTGATATCTAGATATTAAAATACTTCAAAAACGATTTCCCTAATGCTAGAAAAGGTTAATTGCATTAATCTGACTACACGCACACTGGGGTCACTATTTAATACTTCGCTCTATATTTACTGAGCCCAGAAGGCACATCAAACCTGCCAAACCTGCAGTGATTTGTTGACCAATGGCAGTGCGACGGCGAGGTTGCTCCATGTAGAACAGGCCATAAAAAAGTGAAATCAGAAAGACCCTCCTGCTTACACAATGAGACAGGCGGATGGAGGAGATCCTGGAGGCAGCTGTATTTGATTTATTATCCCACAATGCTCTCAGGCAATCACATCCATGGATATTGAATGACCTCTTCACAATGTCTGGACTACAATAAATCACAGCCGGGATCAGCTTGGAGACTGATGGGACGACACGCTCAAGGGCCATTCAGCCACATCAGCGCACGATGCTAAATTCAACAGAAGGGGTTTGACTCGACTGCTTTGCATGTCGGCCGCCAAAGCAAACAAAAACACGACGCTCTGTTTCCCACATTTAGGAGGAACAACTCAAATAAACATTAGGATTGTATATTTTGAATTATTACCATCATGCAGAAACCAAACAGGTAAATCAGTCGAGGTTTACCGCCTTGGACAGCACAGCTCTCGTGTGAAGATGAACCAAATTAAAACTAATTAGGCTGGGACTGAGTGGTGCATCGCTGCCTTGTGATATCCCTCCAAAGGTTACAGGATGCTGCGAGTTGAAACATCCTGCAGCCTGCTGGTCTGAGGCTCTGGACAAAGGGAGTAGCCACCTGTCACCGGCCCGGGCGGAGGGCCACGAGTGTTTGAGGCTCACACTGCGCTGTGTGTGCGTCTGTCACCACAAAAGGGAGATTAAGAGGTCCAGAGAAAACGGTCCCGCCTACTGTCAGGGGATGGCTGTTTAAGTTTATTTATCTATTAAAGCAGGGCAAGCTCAATGGTTTGTATTGATTTAAAAACACATTAAGGAGACAGGAGGAAAGAATAGAAGAAACACATCAAAAGAACACAATGATGAAGTAAACTAGTGTTATCATTCTAATGCTGTTATATGTTAAATCTACAGAACTGAATCTCCAATCTACAAAATAAAGACCTAATATAATGATGTATACGTTCTCGTCTCAGGTCACAAACTATTTGAAGTTACTCTTTGGTATCTGGTATCTTGCTTTACATATGATTAATGTGCAGCTGTCCTTTCGCTGATGTGTTTAGGCATCACTTGGTTGAGTTCAGGAAGGCTGCAGAAAAAGCAAAATGACTCCATTTGAATTAAAATGACTCCCGAGGACTCAAACCCCAGTCCAGTGATGTTTGAGGCCATGCTGCATCTTTATGTGAAAAACATTGACAACAAAGAGGGAATTGCCCTAAAACGGACAACCTTAATCACAGAAGCAAAACATGGGTACAACTACAACTTAATGTAGCGTCAACTCAGCTTTCAATCTTATCAGCAGAGAATAACTACCCTGTTTCAAAAAAAAATAAAAAAATAAAAATCCCACAAGAGCTGTGTTATTAAAAGCTGAAAATCCCTTCAGGTTAACTAAAATTCCTGCTGCGACAGTATCATGTGTTTGTCCTGAACTGTATTTAAATTTGAATGAGGCCATTTACAAACTAATACATCAATCTGCTGTTCAGCTAGTGTGTGGAGGCAGAGTGTTCATCTGGGTGCAAACATGTTTGTATGTAGGCTGTGGGTTTGTGCATTTTCTGTATGCTGCGTGGGTGTGTATGTTCATTTCACCTCCCCTCACCGTCTCTTCTTTATTATATGAAAACATACACACACACACACATATACACACACACTTACACAACACTGCAGGCAGACAAGGCGTGTTCAAGGTCCAGGGTAATTACATTTGTGTTTTCCTATGCTTGCTCTGCTGGGGCCTTTAACATAAAAACCACACGTGCCTTGTACTCCAGCTTTGCATCGAGGCAACAATCTTAAACCTATTCAATACATTGTAATATATAAATAATCTGTATGTTTAAGAACCTGGCTAATATTTGACCGTTTAGCCCTACAACAGATATAATAGATAGATTATAAATAATTGATAGTGATAACAGGACACATTACGTGTTTATAAACAGTAGCTGTAAACATTAAATGCATATTTTCTTACAATACCTGCATTTATTTAGCGTTATATATGAGAATATATCAAGAGATAGTTATGAAATCAGGGCTTGAGACACATACACTTAATAAAAAGAACGATTTTAATATCAAAAACATTGCATATGTTACAAAAAGCATTATATTACAGCACTGGGGAGTTGTGTTTTCGTGTGTGTGTAAAAAAAGGGAATGAAATCAGCTGTTTAAGGTTAAAGTTGGGAGAGCTGCGCCATCTGCTGGTGGTGAATGGTAACTGTTATGTTTACAGGTTACAGCTTAAATGCACTGAATCCTCCGAGCAGTATGGCGCATGCTTTCCTTCTCTTTCTCCTTAAGTCAGACTAGACTGCATCAGAAGAATACAAGCTCACTATTTTCACCAGAAAAAAAAAAAAAAAAACCTCTGATCAATCTCAGGAGTCATTGGGAAGGCCGAACAGTTTGACGGTGCCCGACTCTCTGTTGTTGTCGTATTTGCCCTCCTTGTCGTCGCAGGCGTAGGCGAGCAGCGGCCTCTTGGGGTGCCAGGCGACGGTAAAAGTCGGGGAGTCACACTGAACCTCCCACAGCTTCTCTCCTGTACAAATCCACATTACAGGCAGGGAAACAAAGTTTACATTTTATAAACAACTGAATTGAGCGTCTTTAGAGTGCAGAATCACAGAGTTTAAGCCGCTTTTTAATAAAAGTGTTTAAAAACATTTCAAACAGTAACGACATATCTCTAAACTTTTCTTTGTTCTTACCTTTCTTTAGTCGTTTTGTCATAATCATAATTTCCTTGCTTGTACTGTCTTTGATTGTTTATCATGTATTACAAATATTTCATTCTAGTTATACTCAGTTAACTTTCCTGCCTTGTTCTGGTGTTTGTTTTTCACTTAATTGGCTGTAAATCTGTATGAAAAACTCTGGATGGTTTGAAAGTTGCCGAACAGTCTGATTTGAATAAGACAAGTGAAAGATTTAAAAACATTATTTTCAAGAGCTTTCAATCAGTAATGGCATTCAACAAAACCAGAAGAAAAAACATGTTTGGGTTTACAAAATATTTAACAAATCTGCAAACAGGTCGGGAATTAAATAAAAATCTAACAGCAACAGAATGACACAAAACTATACTTCCTGCCCGACTGATTTTGTTATTAAAAGGTCCACTATAATAGGACAGGCTGGTTTTTTTTAAAACTCAAAACATGGTTTTATTATAACCTGATGTGGTTAATGTTACATTCAAAAGACTTAAGAGTCAAAGGTTAGATTTTAGTTTATATTTTAAATGTCAGTGGTACTGACCTGTTTCCACCTCAGCGATGTCTATAAAGTGATCCTCAGAGGCTGAGGCTAACATCTTTCCATCATGGCTGAAGCTCAGAGTCCTCACTGGCCAGTCCAACCTAAACATCAACGTTAGAAAACAATGATTATATAAACTCAGGGGCAGGTAATGATTGCAGCGAGTTGTTGTATGTTGTCATGTACATTTATTTCTGATGAAAAGTCAAAGTGGAATGTGGGCAGACTGACCTGGAGAAGCAGCGGACACACACCAGTTCCTCCACGTCCCACAGTGAGACCAGAGCGTCTGCACTTCCTGTGGCAAAGTATTTCCCCGTGGGGTCAAACTTGATACAGATGCAGTTGGACGGGTGAGCGTTGATGGACTGGATTGGCTTCAGCTCGGGATAACTGCAAACAAACACAATGGTCACTTTGATCCTGTTCTCATACTGTTGTGGGCTGTTCACACTTGGTACCAGAGATTTTCCAGAAGAGACCGCTCTCTAACGTCATCGTTTCACCCGGTGAATTTGAGTTTGATTTATCTGCAAGTTTTGTGTTGTGTATCCCAAAACCTTGAAAAGAAAGCTTCATTTACCTGAGTGGGTTTTCTTTTTGAACCACAGTGTTGTGTAGAGATGGATCACAAGTAAAAACATGGAGGATATCCCCAGACACGATTTTCAGTTCATGCAAGCGCGTATATTTTTATTTACGGGTTACATTGACTGAATAAAAACGCCACAATGACTTAAGAGTAAAACTAAAGAGAGCAATGTCACGCTAAAGGTACTCGTGTGGAGGATGAGATGATACATTTGTGGTCTCACTAGATGAGCTGTTCATATAAATATAGTCCTCCTCAAAACGCAATAGTAGAGCTTACATGTTTTAGCTCGAGTGATAAGATGCAATACTAGATGTTTGACTTGAACCTTTAATGAGCCAACGGCCGACCGTTTGCATTAACACGTGCACTTTATTCCAGTTGCTCCACCATGACAGGACGAGTTTCACAGACTGTAAAGCGTCTTTAGAAAACATGACTTTTTAAGTTTGTTATTTCACCGTGTTAATTCTACATAACTATTCAGCTGTTTTATATGAACACCCTGTTGTAGTCAGCAGACCCCTCAGAAGAGAAAAACAAAGATCTACGCAAAGGTTAGAGAGACTATTGAATTTGCATTCTCTCAGACAGATGACTAAAAGGCGTTATGGGACATACAGCCCTCCAAGGTGAAGTGTAGGTGTGGGAAATACTGACAAGTAACTAAGGAACAGAGTGGTCTCTTCACCCACATCTTTCAGAAGTTACTATGTATCCTGACATATTTATAAAAACAGAACTCATCCTAATGTGTGAAAAGGAAATAGAAAAAGATACACAGCTTGATTCAGTATTTTCTACAGACTTGCATCATCAGCCTTGATATCTGCTGTCATGACAACAGAATCTTAAGCTTAGATATGATGATAGGAAAGTTAAAACAATATCAATAACAGATTCAATACCACAACAACAACAACAACAACAACAGATGGCCAGGAACCCAAATTCTAAAATTTGCAAATAGCAGGAAAGCTCCTGCATTCTGTCTAAATTGCACAAAGAAGTTGCCAATGTATTTGTGCATTTTAGACTGTCCTCTCTCCCTTTTCCACATGGCAGCTTTGGATTAAAATTAAAAACATGACTAAGGATCTTTAGTTTTTTAACTCTTCTGCATTTTTTGATACAAGCGATCATTAAAATAACAGAGACTGTATCATTGGTAAACCTGCTATCCAAAAGTATTGAAGTATTGGAATCTTTGAAAACCTTAGGTCGGCTTACTTGAGGTCTGATTTTGAAAAAATGAAAAACAGTGAGTGTTTTCTGCAGGAAAATAAAATCCCAAAGTAAAGTATTTAACATCACAGCCTCAGTTTTAAGAGGCTTCACACAGCAGCTGACAGAGTGTGAGAACTGACTGTGAGCACAGATTCTCAAGAATAAATGAATACACATTCAGAGTTTGTGTCACTGCCAGATGCCAAAATCAACTTTCCCCCCAGTTTGGATCTGTTGGGGTTCCTACCTCAGAATATTGATGCAGCCGCTGCCGTTAGTGAGGAAGAATGAGTCGTTGTCGTTGTTCCAAGAGATCTCGTTCACCTCGAACTTGAACTGCTCTTCCGCTTTGGAGCGGTGTGTCTTCGCGTCGATGAAGGTCACCACGTCGTCTTTGTTTCCGACAGCGATGGTCTGACCGTCCGGGCTCCAGCAAATGTTAATGTTTTCTCCTTAAAAAGAAAGAAATATATATATTTTTTTGTAATTGACATCCCTCTCATGGAGAACACTTTAATAGTTAAGCTGTTTAATATTCTTTGGTTACTTCACACAATCATTAATCGTTTCCCTATTACCCCCCCCAGCCTGAGAGATCTTGTAAACAAACCACCTTCCTGTCAGATATTTATTTTAACCTCCCTAAAATCATAGATGTAACACTCCATGAATTACATTTCTGGTTAAAGGTTTTAATTTATATGCATTCGTTTACTCATCTTTTTATTTAGACTGAGAGGAGATTCCAAGATCAGGAATATCCTGTCGCAAAATGATGCAGCAAAACTAGTTCATGCATTTGTTACCTCCACATTGGATTATTGTAATTCTCTTTTGTCGGGGTGGCTCTTTTGTCGGGGTGGCTCCCCCTCCCCCTCCCCCTCCCCCACCCCCTTGCTCCCTATCCCTCTTCCTGTATCTTATCCCATCTCTTCCCCTATCCAAGCCCGGTGCAGTCTCGGCCTGTGAAGGCTGTTCCGTCATGAGCCGGGGATCCGGTCGAAGATTTCTGCCTTTTAATAAGGCAGTTTTTTTCTTACCACTGTAACTTTTGCTGCTTTGCTAAAGTGCTCATGATGGATAGGCCGAGTCTTTGTAACATAACAATAAGTAAGGTCTTTTACCTGCTTTTTTGTAATGTTAACAGAAAAAGCTAAAGACCCAGCTCTTTCATGAATACCTACAAACTTAATGATGATGGTCTCCATATTATTGATGATGACGATGGTTGTGACGATTGTTTTTGTTTGATAACGACGACTTATAAGAACAAGAACTGCCGTCAATGTTGTGCTTTGCCTCTGGTCACGTCCTGTCAGCACCTGTGTGTCCAATCGGACTCAAAGCTGATCGTTTGCTCTCTTACCGACATTGTTCCCTTTTTTTTCCCCCCCTAGATCCTTGCTCGTGTTGTACTTACTCTCTGATGTACGTCGCTTTGGATAAAAAAACATCTGCTAAGTGAATTGTAGAATTGTAGAAAGAGTAAGGTGTTTTACCTGCTTTTTGTAACGTGTCTCAAGATAAGACGTGTTATGAGTTGACGCTATACAAATACAAATTGATTTGATTGAATTGAAAAAGAGCAGCAGGGAAGAAGAAGAAGAAGCAGCAGCGTGTTTGGTCAGTCGTAGGAGGTGTAATATCTCCTGTGGAAACTAGAGTCTGGAGTCCTGCTGTTAAGCTTCAGGCAGCCACACTAACTTCCACTTAAGTTCACACTTACTATAGAGGGTTTTTTTTTCATAGCTGCTTTCATAGTATTCAGGTGTCTCTTCCCCTTCCTCTCACCTCAGCTTGATAACAATATATATTTTTTAAAAAGTAGTATTTGACATTTTACTTCAGTCATTTTTCTGTGTGCACGTTCACGTGGATCAGACCTTACCCCCCCCCCCCCACCTGCAGGTACGGAGGTCCCGCTCACCTTTTGTAATGACAGTGGCGATGCATTTGGTGGTGCGGACGTCCCATATCCGGATGGTCTTGTCTCCAGACGCTGTGACAAACAGATCCGGGTTTGTCGGATGCCAGCAGAGTTGATCCACACTGTCACTGTGGCCTCTGTAGTTGTTCTCTTTCACCTTAAGGGAACAGGACGAGTTGAAATGGGACTCAGGAGGATGCTTATAAATAATCCCCTCAGCCCTACACGTACACCTCAATATACACCTCTTTAAGTATCTTTGATATGCTAACTGTAGCATGGTAGCCCATCACCGCCCGCACACCCGCACTCACCAAGCGGTCCTTCTCCAGGACAAACACGCTGGCTGTTTTGTCGAAGGAGCCGGACGCGAGCCTCCTGCCGTCGCAGCTCCACGCCACCGAGTGGACTTTCGCCGTGTGCGCCGGGAACTCGCGACTTTTGTTGTTATTCCTGAAGCTCTCCTGCATCTCCTGGTAGTACTGCGACGCCATCGTGGACTTCTACGTCACGATGCCCCGGCGGGTGAAGGGGACACGTGAGCAAAACATCGCCACCTGCTGCTTCGGAGTGCGGACCAAACCTTAATCCTTTACATTACTCTAACTACAATACATTTAATTCTTATATCTTACTTTTTTTTTTTTTAATTTGCTGATCATATAGCCCATAAAACAAATGTAGATAAATGTAACTTCAAATAAAAGTCCATTCTAATTCAGCCCCCGAGTTAAGATTTAAGATTAGGATTTAAGATTTACTTTTATTGATCCCTGCAAGGGGAAATTTCTGTTTTTACACTCTGTAAGTCATGCAACACACACATAGGCAAACAGGATCCTATGGAGTTGCACTAATGGAGAGATGCCAGAGTGACGGAGCGGCCCACAGTGGTCGCTCCTGGGCTGGTGGTGGGGAGGGGGTTTGATGCCTTGCTCAAGGGCACCTCAGCAGTGCTCAGGTGGTGATCTGGCACCTCTCCAGCTACTAGACCAACTTTCATATTTGTCCGCACCGCACCGGGGCAACCCTCCGGTTCCCAACCCAAGTCCCTACAGACTGAGCTACTGCCGCCCCATGAGTTGCAGCCAGTTTGACAATAAAGGCAGTTTCAATTAGAGCATGTAGTGTTGACATAACTTGAATAAAATAGATCAACATGAACGAATAGCTAAAATAAAATGTATGGAGGTATGTCCTACAAGGGCTTCCGTAGCTTTGTGGTTCTGCTTGTATGCTTTTTAAATCTGGAATTAATCTGTAGGCCCTATTGTTTAGGTTTTTCGGCCTACACTTTAGGGGAAACTGTAACACAAATAGCCCTTGCTGCTGTTTTAGGACTTGGCTAAGTTGGCTCAGGCTAAGTTTCATAGTTGAAGCCATTTCTTTAATCGGATACTAAAAATCAATCAAAAACAACCATCACATGCGATGAAGTGTTTTTTTTTTTGGCTGGAACTTAAGCATTTCAAGCAGTGCCCACACTTTGCATATAAAAAATGTAATTACATGATGCATGCAGGCCTAAATAAGCTATTTCTGTGGAACAAATGAATAACAGTAACTACAGTAAGTATAATGCTGACTCTACATCCATGCTGTCAGGTAATTTCCTCTTAGACCTATAGGGATGTGCATAAAAATCAATTTTGAAATGACACAAATTAAAAAAAGGACTGAAAGGGTTCTTTTAACAAGTTTTAAACAAACAAAATAATAAGTAAGACATTTCCAAGAGAAAAAAAAAAAATGAAACCAAAACTATCTTAATGTTCACTGTTTCCTAGATATCCTACATTCCATCTTTTCTGGTTTCTTCTTTAAATAAAGACAAACAACACAAGCTTTAAGCTTCAATTGCAATTTATTTCAAGTGATGCTAAAATGAAAATCAATGTTTTAAAAAACACTCTATTTATATCCCAAACACACACAATACCTATAGTCACCCGAACTCTGTCAGTAAATCCCTTTGTTAAGACGACACTTGGTTAACATTTAATCAGTAAAAGGACCTAAAGTAGAACCCCGCTGCAGGTCGTCTGAAGGCCAGTGCAAGGCCTCGATATGCATAATATTCAGGCCTGTGGTATTACTAACGACTCTGATGGGTTGTTTGATGTGCAGCTTAACAGTCTATTCACACCTGGTCCTTTGCATTTCAATAAGATACACCCAATGGACGGAACAAAATGCACTTTTAAATGTGGAAATCTGTGTTATTAGAAAGAATGACAAGGTGTGAAAGCATCATACAAATATGCCTCATGTAATTGCATACTTTTTAAAAGTTCCTTAGGTTGCATCACATGTAAGGAAGGCTATATATATATATATATATATAGCAGTAGGCCCTACAAATAAAAATAAAAAGTCAAGGAATGCACGGTGAGATGTGACGGTGAGCTAGTGTTGAGCGAGTACAGAAACAACGAGGGCGTCGCAGAAAATGTGTGTATGTGACTCTGCACCCAGTGGAGGAAAGGCGTGTGGAAGACATCTCCGGATAAGAGGGATTACAAAGGTATCTCAGTAGATTTCACACCACAAAATTGCAAGTCAGGACGTGTAGGTTTAGAGGTTTGGTGTCTGTGGAGAGGTAGACGACGTACACAAGCACCTCATTCCTAAAGGATGTTTTAATCATTTAACCACAAGTTTAAAAAAAAAAAAAAAAAAAAAATGGCTTCTGTCAAACGTTTCGGTGCATATCTTGTCCAATCGGACCCTGAGATATTTCTGTTAGATGTGATTTAGTTTGAACAGTGTTACCGTCTTTGCTGTTACTGGAGAAATATCTCTTCCTCTTAACTTGCAACATCCCTCACATTTGAATGGATTTCCACCTGAAACCTTCACACACTGATAGTCGACACGCTGAAACCTGGATGGGAGCCTCAGCAGCAGAAGTAGAAGAAACTTTCTGGACGATTTGTTTCAACCCTGGATGTTAAAGCTGTTTCACTCAGCCTGGCTCCTTAACAGAGAAAGTACCATGATCATGGGATACTCTGATTACCTGCGTACTACAGTCGAGGCGGCACAATTAGGGCTAAAGACATCCAGCCGTTTAGAGCTCAAAGGTTCACTCTGGCCTTTATAAAGAGAACTATCAGCCAGATTGCAAAATATGTTTTCAGTGCCATGGAAGGAGCCAATAACCTTTGACAAAAGATAAATCAATTATGCAACCTCGACTACACCTGGGAGTAATAAATTTGGGGGGGGGGTGGTGTGGGGTTAGTTGGAGGAAAAGCAGAAAAAGTTGAGAGCTTGATTCTTAGCAGTACAGTGCATTCCTTCTGATGACACAAAGTGACATTAAACAGATCCTTTGTGCATCAAACTGAGAGGAAAAAAAAAAAACATCATCCTAAAGCTTTGCAGTCATCGTACAAGTTGAAGTGTTTGAAGAAAAACTGAGGTTCTGTGCAAAACAATTGCAGCTTCCCTCGTACAGTTCAGTCAGCGCGTCCTTCCAGGATCCACAGGTTTGTGTTCTGTAACCGATGTGCAGCAGATCCATAAAAGCTCTGGTTACCAATTATAAGCCATTGAAGAGAGAGAGAGAGCCCTAGCCATGACTGAAATGTCCATGTTTCGGTTTATTTGACTGAATATTTGAAGTAGTTGTATCCCCCTTAATGTCCAACTCTATTGAGATTTTAATACGTAGAACGGGCATCTAAGATTGACGTTTTAACGATGGTGGAGGAGTTGTGTTTCAGCTTATGCAGAGGGCATACTTTCTGATGTAAACTTCATTTCATCAGGATGAAAATACCTGTCTGGCCCTTGGAATTGATAGCTCTGAAAACTTGACATAAGTAGAAGTAGGCGGCACCCCCAGACGGCCGTTTTGCCCCTCGCCCGTCGGTTTGCCGGGCAAACAGCAAACCAACAGGAGATGCGACGAATGAAGGCTGGAAAGTGAACTGGTTCAGATATAACTCGTTCTACCACACCTAAAAAAGCACCTGCATTGTTCTAATAAGCTGCACGGCAGAAATGTGGTAAAAAGCTGTTAATATGAGATTGATTTTGACCCTTTTCAGGTGTTTTACTTGTATAACCTTTAGATTCTTCAAGTTATAAATCCATACAGTTAACATTTTCTATCACTGTGCAATAACCGTAATCAGGGTTTTATTTTTATTTTTGCCTATTATGCCTTTATTTTGATAGGACAGCTAAAGAGAGGCAGGAAATGTTGGGAGGAGAGAGAGTGGGGGGATGTCATGCAGCAAGGGGCCAAGGTCGGATTTGAACCCACAGCCTCTGCGACGAGGACCACAGCCTCTGTACATAATGCGCGCGACATATCTAGCAGCGCTCCAGTGTTTTAACATTTTCAAAGACTTCACAATCCCCAGGATATTATCTCTCAACTACTAACAAGAGACGGATACATCCTGTTCCAGGTGTCAGGGTTTCTCCAATGGCTTACAGGTTAGAGTGTGTTCACACACAGCATGTTTGAACCACAAATACTTGAGGCTAAAACAACGTTCAATAAGTTAGCTACATGTTAGTCTTGTGATGTCACAGACCCTAACCCTATATTTAAATTCAAATGTAGAAAACACAACATTTAAAAAGTCAATAAATCAAAGGGCCAATGTGTGATCGCACCCTAAACCTTCTGATCAGAGCGTGTGTTTTGGATGACATCACTGTCTCTCCAGCCAATCAAATGCACCAGATTACAGAACCAAGCCCGGGATCCTCAGAGTCCTTCTTAGCACTCTGCGTCTGTGCTGCCGTTGACGGGGCCATCGCAGACAGCGGTGTGTGCGACCTCTCCGGCTCCAGTGTGCTCGACTCCATTCGACTGGACACACCTCTCAGTGACGTTTTGATCGTCCCCCCAACACTGTGGAGCGGAGACACAGAGAGCTAAAAGTCAGAGACTTACAACAATGAGATTGTCTATAAGCAAAATTATGTCTATTTCTATTTATTTTACATCTTAGACTTGGGTCCTAATCACACATAGCTAAATGACAAAACACTTTCAATTGCTGCAGGAGTTTGTTTCAGATGGCAGCCCAAAACAGGCTGTAATGGTTTCTAAGTTCGACCTTTTAGTTCCAGAAATACAGAAACGTAACATAACTTCTTTAAAACCACCAGACTCTATCGACAAATAGATTTATTTATGACAAGCATGCCTTTCATTTTTTGTGTTTTCTATCTCTGAATAATATGTTTATCTGGACTTGTCAGGCGAATGTGGATGAAAATAAAATTATAAATTCGACAAATACACTTGCTCAGATTTAAGCTTTTGCAGTGTGAGGTAAAACTCCTGTTATTGTCAATGGAGTCTGGTGGCTTCGAAGAGCACGATCTGTTTCTCGTTTCAATAAAGGATCCTACTCTTAAACAAGTGGCCTTTCTCTATAGGGATCCTTTCTGTGAGGCTGTCAGAAACTTGGTTAAACATCTGAGCATTCAGTGGCAAAAAAAACAAAACATGTGTGCCTTTCAGACAATAAGACCCCAAATTATATAAAAAATAAATAAACAAGGTCCAATGTTCAAAAATAAATATATTCAGAGCTTCAGTTCTTAGTGAAAATGAGCATCAGCTGCATCCCCCTTCCCTGGTGTGGTTCATGTTCCTGACGCTTCACCTTTTGATGCAGCCGTTGCTGACTGGAGACTCTGCTGTCTCCTTCTCTGACAGCGAGCTGCAGGACCTCCTCTCCTGCCAGGAGCCCACCCTGGGCTCTTTGCCTGTGTCTGAGCTCTTCCTCCTTGCCACGATGGGCCCGGGTCCTGACCCCCGTCTCTCTGAGCCGACCCTCGGTGCTTCTGGGTCTTTGCCTGAGTCGCTGCTGGTGCGCCTCCCGTTCAGGCTGTCCAGGGAGGAGACGTGGCTCATCTGGCCCTCCCGCTCATCTGACGGACAAAGAGAAATTGATATATTGTCTTTCTTGTTTTGTAGTCGATTTTTTTTTTTTTTGCTCAGCTGGGAGAGGACGTGCAGCAAAGGTTGAAAACAACATTTAAAGAACAACCTCCAGAAACAGCCTGATTGTCCTGCTGATGGAAAAATTAACTCGCCTTTCAGTTTTTGATCCCTTTCAATAAGTAGGTTTTCAATGTGCCAGTGATGACAATAGAGTCATCGGAACTATTTTATTGTTTGTACCAGGCTGTAAACAAGTTAATTGATTCTGTAAAAATGGCTTTTTTGCCTCTTGTGTGTATGTGACTTATGGGTCAGCCTCAAGCGGACCCTCGACAAACTGCAGGATTTTGCACTTCTGCTTTGGCTTCCTCTTTCAACACTGTTGAAGGTTTTTTACTTTAATTTACTTCAGACTTTGAACTGGATCACAGAAAAGCGAGAAATCCAATGTCTGCAGATGTCTGACCTCAGTTTGTGTTATTTCTGTGGTGCAGAACGCCCTCTACTGGACACACACAGACACAGCAGCTCAGACTGGTTCTCCCGTGACGTCTTTTAGAGTTCAGTCCCAGCAGGAATCAAAACTGTGACCTCTGTTAACACTTGACCAAACTATAAATGTTATCACCTCTAGTTTATCAATAAATCATTATGCAATACCTTTATTTTCTATCTAAAATCTGCATACTTAAGTACGATTTTGAAAGCCTAATGTGTTCTTGTAGTGTTGTATTTTATCAGTTTGGTGTGATTTTGCTTCAGTTAAAGATTTGAATACTAGCTGCACCACTGTAAGATGAGTCAGCATAACTTCGCAGGGAGGAAAAAAAGATGACGTACTTTTTTAACAATTGTTGTCTTTTCTTTCTCTGCGTTTTCTTAGATTACTCATGCCATCTGCACCTCTTTGTTTTCAGTCTTTCTTTGAATTAAAAACAGATTAGGATCACTCTCCCGGGTGTGTATCTACCTCCTGAGCCAGATTCTCCCGCCTTGTTGCGTCTACGTCTCAGGATGACCTCCAGCTCGCTGTCCTTCTTCCCCGATGGCGACGGCCCCGACTCCTGAGAGCCTCGGCTGGGGCTCCGCTTCACCGTCTCCTGTAGGTAAATGCATCCTTCACTTCAGAGACTGCATAATACACACACATTCTTTTTACCTTTGGACACAGAACTTCACGTTCTCTGTATGACACATTGACTTTTAGAGATATCAATTCATGTAATGTGTTTGTCATTCAAGGTCCATGTCAGAGCTATTAAATGGGATCCTGTTCAATTCAAACCGTGGCCTTATTATTTATTTCTAAATTACTAACCGTCAAGAGATAAGATTTGAAGAGAAAATGAAAAGTACGACACACTTTGAAACCTTCTGAGCGCTTATCTTCAATGGCAAACATTTCCCCACACGTCTGTAACAAAGCTTAACAGAAAGCCATTTTTCCTTACCAAGATGCCTTTCAGTTCCTCCATGGCGCTCTCCTGCGGCTGCGGCGGCTGCGGCGGCTGCGGCGGCTGCTGCTGAGGCTTCTCCTCAACGACTGGAGGCGGCTGGGGAAGAAGACAGAGGTAAGTTTCCTTGTTTGTGTTTCTTAACACAAGAGCTTGAACATGGCTCAAATGTTGCATGTCAAAAACATTGAATAATTGCAGGTTTTTGAAAAGGACATATGCATCCTCCATTGAAGTATTTCACATTTCCAATAAACCCAGACGATATGAGAACCATTTTATTACCACTTCTCTTTTTAACTGTTTCATTGAATGTTCTACAGAATAAAGGAAGTCAACCATGCCTACATGGCTTTTGCAGCAATTCTAAATATTCAAAATAATTCTACATTACCAGCCTATATGGGTGCAGACTAGGGTTGAGCTTATTGAGCATGCCCTCGCCCCGCTGCTCATGGCTAACAGTCATTGACCGCAGAGCTTCTTTATCATCGTGACATCATGCTTTAAAAGCTTTCTTAGCCTCCATCACGCTCGGTTTGGCTGTTTATAGTTATTTTGGGAAGACGGTACTGCTGCAATGCTCTTTGTACAAAAACAAATCTAAAAAAAAACAAAAGAGCTTTGTTTTCTGCATTTGATGTTCACAGACAAGCTTTTATTACTGCTGGTATTGGAAAAACAACATACATCCTTTTACCGTCTGAAATAAGTACATCTCAGCGAATGATATTAGCCCACTGATATCCTGTTCTGGTTTTAATCTTGGACCTCTGATTAAAATGAACCACAGTGTCAGGGATTTTTTTTTTAAAAGACTTAATTTCTCCTGCTAGTTGAAATGATTGTAAATCTGGCACACTGGTGTAAGGAACTCCAAGCTTCCCGACAGAGATGAACAGCAACCTTTCATGTTCACGTAGGGAAGATATTTTAAATGGAAGTGAGAGTGACGTGTATTTAACTGATTAAAAGAGGGTTTACTTTGTGTGTGTGTGTGTGTGTGTGTGTGTGTGTGTGTGTGTGTGTGTGTGTGTGGGGTCAGTGGGGTCAGGGGGATGGAAACATCGGTGACTTCTCGACAAAAGATTGATGTAAACGTCAATATACTCACTTTTACTGCTACTCTCTGTGGAGGCACAAAGGAGAGCGAGAGAGGGAGAGAGAGAGAGAGAGAGAGAGAGAGAGCAATCAGCCAGAGTGAATTCAGACTTCAACAAACATGGAGACACAACAGAACAGAGTCGACAGGTTTTACTGACGCCCTGATCTTTAAGTGCTATACTCTGTACAGTAGTTGTATCAGAGCTGTCTCCAGAAACTCGCCAGCTAGCGAGAGTATTTCTACATTACCTGAACAAATATTACAGTTCTTTTCTGTCATTTATTGTTTGGGATGGCTCGTCCTCACCTTGCTATCCTGACTCTTGACCGGCCGCAGGACGACGCCATGTTTGATCCTTTCCATCATTTCATTCACCGCCTTCGACTTCACGTCGTCCACACCCTCGCCAGCTACACAGAGAGAGAAACGTGGCAACACAAACTCAGCATGTTCAATTTAAAAACAGTTTACATAAACATTTTTAATGATTTTATTTTACCTTTATTTTAACAGGAAATACAAAATCTGTTTAACAAAGGATTCCTGGCCTAACAGCAGCATAACATTCCTCACAAAGATAAAACAGAATCCCAACAGCACGCAGAAAGTACAGAATTTAATTTTAGCAGCGCACCAAAACTGGACAGATGATTCTACATCCTGGTTATAAAATCCCCCACGCTGAATAATATATACAAATTTCATAGATTTGGTGGGACGACGGGTGCAATGAGATCATGCAAGCTTGGATTTAATCAGAGATATTCTGCTTTAACACCTGTAAATAGATTGGTGTATCTTTGTTAGCTTGAGTTGATTTTAAACCACTGTTGACTATTTGTTGCATCAATGTCATGAAGTATCTGAAATCTTTTCAAATCCTTATTGACTTGATTGATGTGGAAAATACAAAAACAACATTACTATATCCCTGTCATTAGAAAAATGTCTCATGTATCCAAATGTCTGACATTATTCAGTGACGTGCTGTTCTACATGTGATGATGCATAGATGTAAAAAGGTGGTGTTAGTCTCACCTGCAGGCTGCTCGGCCTTCACAGCAGTTTTGGAGCCTTTTGATGACTTCCTCATGATGGCGATCAGAGAGCTGAGAGAAGGAGACACAAGAACAAGAGTTCATGTCCTGTTCAGCATACGACACTCATTAGCCTTGTTCACACTTGCACAAATCTCCTGAAGATTTCAGGCGTAGCTGCGATGTGTGAACAAGTACCTCAACTTTACCCAGACTTACTCTTCCATCCCCTGAGTGATATGAAGGAGTCAGCTGAGCGTATATGTGAACGCAGCAGGAAATATTCAGGAGAATTCACCGCGAGTGAGCGAGGCGGGGTGATGATATTTATATATGACGGACCGGTGCAAACATCGTTCATGTAATGAAGCCTCTTCATGATCTTTACTGCTCGCAGGTCTGTTCTTTTTAACTCATTTGTTGATCCTGTGAATACATCCAAAGTTACCGGTACATGTAGCATTGATATAGAGGCAAAAATCTGTCATTATTGTGTCAGACTCTGTTTCTTCATCATCCTTTAGTCCAAGTCCAACAGTGAAAGTCAACTGTTGTGAGGGACATGTGTGAACAGGCAAGTCAGGAAGATTTCAGAGGCATGCTGTCCTGACATTTTCAGGAATGCACCTGTGCAAAATGCTAAAGTCTGTACAGCCTTTGTCTTTCAACCTTTAACCCAATACATTTTAAAAAATCCCCCAAATCCCCTTTAACAGGGAATGATTACCTGAAACCAAACACTTAATTAACTCCATATTTAGGCACATCAACTCCTTTTTTCAACTGTCTGAAAAGATGCCTAACAACACTGTCCTAAGATTTTTTTTTTTGGGGGGCTTTTTGTGCCTTCAATGGATAGATAGGACAGTGGACAGAGTCGGAAACCAGGGAGAGAGAGTGGGGAATGACACGCGGGAAAGAGAGAACCACTACGCCACCAGCGCCCCACTGTCCTTTTACAGATTTTACATAAAATATGTGTTAATGTTTGTCCTCTGGTCCTCTTGTTTTTGGATTGAGGCTTTTATCATTTCATTTCTGCACAGCAAACATTAAAACACTTGAAGGGTGCGATGCGATGTGTAACGTGTGTTTGTTGATCACTTCCTCACCTGAGGGGGTTGCACCTCGAGGGGGGAGGAGGAGGAGGGGGTGGAGGAGGTGGAGGAGGGGGGGAGGAGGCTGAGGGGGCGGGGCAGGAGGCGGGGCGACCCCAGGTTCGGGGGGAGGGGGTCCTGTGCCGGTCGTCATCGGGACATGTTTCTGGGTCTCCTCCTGGAGCTCGTGGACTATGGGAAGAAAAAAAAGAAAAAATAGTTCATATACATTCAATACAGCACTGTTGTACTGTACAATACAGCTCTACCACTAATCCTGAAGCTTTAGTTACTCTCATGTCCTTTTGTCTCATTTGATTGGTTGGTTTGTAGAAGCCATAGATAGTAAGGGAAGTCCTTAAACCTCCACGTTTCACTCTGGAGTGAACGCTCTTTCCCGACACACTATCTCTGTTAACACAGTGCCAATGAAAGAGGCCTCTGTATTTATTGTCCTATTTAACGGATTCTGGGTGAAGTCGGTTGGTGGGTTTTTTGGCTCTGACTTCACGTGACCCATTTTAAAAAAACACACACAGATGCCATGTCTCATGCAGGGAGAAATTCTGCCAGTTTTTCCTGCAGCAGATGGGTCAGTGGTCAACAGAGGAGCTAAACACAGAGAAAGAAGAACAAACAAGAAGAAGACGTTGTATTGACAGCAGGGTATGACTCTTTAAAGCTTCTGAACTCTGTATTTTTCCTTTGGAGGAAATTCTAGTGCTTTTAAACCTGAATACTATTTTTTGGATCTTCATGACTGAAATGAACAAAACCTTTTGGAATTGCTCCAGTAAAACTCTAAGTACAGTACATCCACTTAAATGGATCGATTTTGCCATTGACAGGCTCACACTCTTATTCTAAATGTCTGAGAGCATCAATAAATAAAACATATTGTTTGCAACGACAAGATCCCCCTTTCCAACGGGAAACAAAGTCAATCTCTGCAATGCCAGAAGAGTCCAATGACAAAAATCTGCCCTGAGGTTCATCGGAGTTGCTGGTCTACACCTTTCATTTGTGAGTTTGTTGGTGTTGTAAATGTTTATTTTCAATAAATACTTGAATATTTAGGCAGTTTGAATGGCAGCCTTTAAATCAGATAGACGTTACTAAACTACAGAGCTGATCAGACTTTGCAGATTTCAGTCTGGCTGTGGTGTGGCTCAGTCGAGTCAGAGCTCCCAATCTGGGTCAACACTCACAGTTATTGTTCACTTTGTAATGCATGATGTCCTGTGACTAAAAACCATCAGATATCAATTCATCGTTGCTAAAATCAACAGCAATTATACAGAGATTGCATCATTTTTTCTATCAGGAGTAGTTTCTCCAATGCAATACAATGTGTCCAGTTTAACCCATGTTCACTCAGAGAGCTGCCAACCAATCAGAAACAAGCATTTCTGTTGCTATGCAGTGAATTCCTGCATTTTCTATTCCTATGTCAGCATCTAACTAAGGAGCCACACCTACTTTTTGCCTCTTATGCGTGGTGTTTGTGTGTGTGTGTGTGTGTGTGTGTGTGTGTGTGTGTGTGTGTGTGTGTGTGTGTGTGTGTGTGTGTGTGTGTGTGTGTCCTCCTCCTCCTCCTCCCACCTCTGTTCTGCAGCTCCTCGTTCTTCTTCTCTGTCTGCTCCAGTCGTCCCTCCACTTCCTTCTTCTCTACCTCTAGCAGCTCCAGCTGTCTCTGCAGAGCCTCCAGCTGCTTCTTCACACAGCTCTGCTCAAGCTGGGCCTGCAGGCTCTCCACACACACACACACACACACACACACACTCTTGTTTAAACGCAGACGATGATACGATCTTCTGTTGAATCTTAATTGATAAGCATCGTCTAAAAAGCCACTTAAGAGTTTGACTTTAAGCTTAAAGGTCCATATTTAAGTTCGGGAACATACAGTAACAACACAAGCCACTGAAACCAGAAGATATAATGCCACTTGAAAAGGAGACAGTTTTCTGAGTGAACTAGGTGAAATTGATAAAAGGTTTTGTTGTCCAGTTTTCAATGACAAATGATACAATTTGACTAGAATAACTACTTTTTTCGCACACGTCTGACAGTTGTATGTCTACAGTGGCCAAGAGGTGTCGTATCCAAAACACAGCAAGGACAAAAACAACCGCATTAATAGAAAAGGCAAATTCCACGATAGCCACAACTGGAGCTGAAAGTTGACAACTGTGGACTACGCTTCTGACAAACTGTCACTCCAGAGGGACACACGACTGGATCGGGAACAATGGAAATTGAAACGGGCCAACTACCATAGATATATATATACACACACAGTCACAGAGATGCCACTTCCCTGATTGTAAGACGTGACTCGGCCATCATCCTGGAGAGGGGCAGCTGAGCCTCATAATGAATGGAACTCCAGGATTAAAGTATTCATAACTCCCAAGGTTTTTATACAATAATGCTCGATCTTATACAAGATTTCTGCGCTTCTCTATAGAGAGAATCACAGTCACATTTCTGTTATCAAGGCTGTTAAGAAACTATACAGATTATGTTAAATGTATGGAAGCGTTTTGCATTCTTGCTCATTTTTTGTGAATTACAACTCCCGGCCCCCCGTATATAACTGCTGTATATAAAAACATGAGTTGTGCTCCAGAAATGTAGTCCAGGACTAATTTCCTCAAGGAAAAGTTCATCAACATGGAACCATACTGTATTTAAAAGAGAAGGCCACTTAGTTTGCCTTACACTGAGCTTTACATGAATTAGATTTAAGATGAAATTTAAAACACGGGATGATGGGGGTTACAAAATTAAAGTCTGGTGGGGGGGTGGGGGGGGACACATTGCGTTTTCTTTTAAGAACACCTTAAACTGGCTGAAAAGGGCTGATGATGACTCAGAGCTCGACTATGACTTGCTCTCTCGGTCAGTCAAAGTGCCGTCAGCTGTAACAGGATGAAGAGCAGCTTCCCGGGCAACAGCCTGAAGTTTTGGAGGATTACCTTCTGCTGATGCTGCAGACGCTCCTCCTCCAGGGTTTTAGTGACGGCAGCGACGTCCTCCAGAGCTTTCAGCAGCTGAATGCTGGGCTCAGCACTCTGCAGCAGGAGCATGCTCTGCCTGTTGGCCTCCTTCTGCTTCACCAGCATCTGCAGGATGAAGAGGAGGAGGAGGAGGAGGAGGAGGACAGAGATATGGAGAAGCAAGAAGAGACACTCTTATTTTCTACATTTTCACTTCAAACACATCATCCCAGCCCGACTGTCCGTCTGTTTTCATCCTGCAGGCGTTTCACGTTTCAGGTCAGTACACAGCAGATTCAGGACATTTCATTAATCAGTTTCATTAATCACACATCAATTACCAACACAGCAATGCAGGTCACTGTTTATCACCCAGCCTAACAGCAGCAGCACTTCACAGCTTTCAATGCAAAAGTAATTTGTCATCTCAGTGGATCACTTTAATAAATACAAATGAACACTGAAATGTAAATGACAATGTTCCTTTTAGTATGACAGATATGTTCACACATGCATCATGTATGTTAAACTGTGCTGTTGGATGGAAACTTTGCTTTCTAGCAAAGATGCAAAGACAAGAATGTGTTGCAGACATCCAAAACAAATGCAACTTTTACTAAAGCTCTACCAAACATATTACTGCTTGATTAAAATACACAGATGTGGAAGGACCAGTATGAAACCTCACGTTTGCCATTTAATTGGAGCCAAACTGTAAGAGAGATTGTCATATTTGGAGGAGAGGGAGTAAAAGAGGACTAAAGGGTCAGGACAGACAACGTTAGCTGCTAACACCAGCACTAAATTGGCAAACAGGGTTTTTGTGTTATCCAAGGATTAATTCTGATAAACTTCTATACAACCGGACTTCTTTTTGCAATCAGTGGAGTTGCCCCCTGCTGGCCATTAGAAGTAATGCAGGTTTAAAGCACTTTAAAACACCTTATTTTCTATGAAAGCCCTGAGAGGAGATGCATCCTCATATTATTATTTTTTTCCCCCCGTGATAAGTTAATTCTGGTTGTTTTCTCAAGATCTCAAGAACTTAATTTGCGATCACGGGAAAACCAGTGTTATTATTCAGAGATAAGAAAGTTGACATCTTGATAAAACAACCAAAAATTGACTCACCATAACGGGAAACATTCAAACATGTTTCTGGACAAGTTCCTTTTTCTACAGCTGACATATGAACACTAGGCTAGTCGTATATATTTTACTGCATTGTCTCTACTACATTAGGCTCCTGGATGTTACCGTGCATCACTTCACTTTGCCTGCAGTGTGTTTGTGTATTTGTGTCTCTGTACCTCGTGTGCGTACGTCTCGGCCTTCACTCTGAGGCTCTGCTCCAAGTCGAGCTGCTCCTTCATCCCGTCGTACTCCTGAGTCGCCATCACAGACACTGCAGAGAGAGACAGGGTCTGTGTCAACTTGAATTCTATTCAGAAATGTAAACTTCACAAAGTCAAACAGAACAGTTAAAGGATGACTTGTTTGTTTTTCACAATAATAATTCAACATGTTAGGATGCAAACATGCTTGTTCCATGATACTATAACCATGTCCAGAATAAAAGTGAAGCATACGGTCCAATATTCGGCAAAAGTCTTTCCTGCCGTCAGCTGACCCCAGGGGTTGTACATATGGAGGTGTGTCTCCTCACTTGTACATGTGTGATGAAGAGTCTGCTGTGTTGTGACTCACCTCTGTTGAATCTCTTGATGGTTTTACTATGCTGCTCAACAGTTTCCCGAAGCTCCTTCATCTCGGCCTGATCTTTCTCTGACTGCAAAGAGTGAAAGTCAAAATCAATCAGGCACCGGTATTCATCGAAGTCCTACAAGAAAGTTTTTCATTTTCCTTTTTTGAAAGGTAAACTAAATATTATGAGAAAGGGTTAAATCTGTATTTTTGTACCTATTAGTCTTTTATAACCCAGCATGTCAAAATCAAGTTCCAGGTTTGAATACCTACATTTCCTTTTATGTATGGTGCTTTAGTAATTCTGTCCCTGATGCTACATGCTGTTATATGTTCTTGCCTTAAGTATCAATTTTCAGCAGTGGCATGATCTCTAATCTCCATAGAAAATAACTGAAAGAAGAAGAAGTAGAAGAATTGTTTCTGCAGGATGATGTCCACACTTCTCTCTCCTCACCTGAGTCGTCAGCTCTTCTATCCGTTTCTGCTGTTCATGAACCTGACAGACGAAGTTCTTCTTCTCCTCCAACAAGCTGTTCACCGTTTCCCTCAGCTCTGAGAAAACACACAAGGAAGAGTGCTGATTCGTCATCACAAAAATAAGAGTTTTTCTGTATATCTGACTGACAAAAACTGCACAATTATATCAACTGTGCTGCTGCCTGTCCTACCCAAGACAACAAGGGATAACTGGTTAACATAAAGGATAAATAAATATAAATTAAAAACAATGAATATTATTAAGTGTCTAACTTCTACTTCTTATTCGAATATAAGTCTGCAATGAGACTTACAGAAGCTAATAATACTCAATTTGTTCAGTAAAATAAATTTGTTCATGTGAGTGAAGTACGGTAAATTGTATGTAAGATTTCTTGTGAGTAAATGGAAAATAACAATTTTAAAAGAGCAATATGAAAAGTTCTTTCAGCAAAGTTGAGGGCATTTTTATTTTTGTATTTGGGCTTTTTATGCCTTTAATTTTATTTCAATGCCTTTAGAGATAGAAGATAGAAGAGTTGAAGGTAGTTTTGAAGTTGACTCTTTATTGCCTTTCATTTGTTAATTGCTTTTATTTCATTAATTTGTTATTCTTGCTTTAACCTTTTATACTCTGTCTCCTATATGCTGCGTGTCTGTTGCCGACTGAGTTTCCTGATTCTATTGTCTGTCAAAGAATTTTGCATACTCTTTTTTTTTTTAAAGGTACAGTAGTAAACACAGTGCAGTACAAGAAGTACTACAATACAGTTAATTCACAAATGCAGTTAACATATCATCAACAAACTTAATGTAAACAACAGACATCAAAGGCTGTTAGTCCACCTGCAGTTGGTATTATGTCAGTATAAATCTGCGTCCTGTACCTTTAACCTGCTGGTGGCACTATGTCAGCATAAATCTGCGTCCTGTACCTTTAACCTGCTGGTGGTACTGGGTGAAGTTGTCTGGGCTTCCGTCTGCAGCGTCTGCGTCTGAGTCGGCCTCCAGAGCGATGCAGTCTGAGATGCTGGGGAGCAGCTCGTCCAAACACGGGCGAGACGACATGCTCAGGTACTTCAACTTCCTGTTCTCACAGTTCAGCTGGAGGTCAAGGTCACGGGGGTCAATGACACTTAAAACAACAGCATTATGCTAAGCACTAGTATCTTGCATACTGAATAAAGCATAAAGAATACACTTTCCAAAGTTTCCAAACATTTCCATTTCATCGGTTGTGTTCAGAATAAGAGATGTTTTTTGTATTGATACTTAAAGTAAATGTTCTACTTGTAGTAACTTTAAACTTTATTTAAGTTTAATATGAACACAACGTTTCTGCTGACAGAGACAATGAAGACGTGGTTTATGTGCAGAGTCATCCTGACTCAGCGGTTCTCTTCTGCTAATGCCAGCTGGACCCTGATAATGCTAATCTTATTGTATTGACTATTGAGTGAGTGTGTGTGTGTGTGTGTGTGTGTGTGTGTGTGTGTGTGTGTGTGTGTGTGTGTGTGTGTGTGTGTGTGTGTGTGTGTGTGTGTGTGTGTGTGTGTGTGTGTGTGTGTCTGACCTTTGTGGCCAGGGCCTCTGCATTCTCACGGCATGACTTCTCGATCTCCAGCTGAGTCTGCAGAACGCTCACCTCCTCAATCACCATCTGAGACACTGTGGGGAGGACACACACACACACACACACACACACACACACACACACACACAGAGACAGTTATATTGAGCATCGTACTAAACGCTATATTGTCTTTCTTTTATTACATGTTATCTGATTTAAGGTGGTGCTGAGTAGCTGATTGGTTTGAATGATTGAGGTGAACCTAACCTGTAGCTGTGTTTCTGCCCTGATGTGTTATGGGATATGTGGTTGACAAAGGGGTTAGCTTTATAGACTGAAGAGTAGCCTAAAATTGGTTCCATAAATCAACCCCCCTCAGCTCCACCCCCTTGTGAAGTATTTTTTGGACAAAAAAATTATGCCGTCATTTTTCTTTCTTTTTTCATTGTCAATATAGGGCTTCTATTCTGACATGCATACTGTCAGTTGTACTGGTGATAATCTTTCTTTTTTGTATCAATGTGTATGCAAACGTCAATGAAGTAGAAATTTGATCACAAAAAAATATATATTGCAGTCCGAAGCGCGGATTGGAAATGCAAAAACGAAAAGCAAAACCAAATTTAGTATTTCCTAAAAGGAGGAAATGGATTTATGTGCATATTTGTCGAATGTGCCTATCCTGTCTTCAACGATTTGAACATCAGGTTCACTTTTAGGATTCATCTTTTCATGTAAAGGCACACAGGTTTCGTTTTAGGGGAGCAGAATTTGCACACAACCAGGATTTTTCTTTTATTTTCTGTGTGATGTTTTGTCGGTGATGATCTGTGAGTTTCAGAGTAAAACCAGCACAAAAAACTAACGAGCGAGCCCGAGGATGTGAGACGCCTGCAGCTGTCGAACATGTCACCAGAGCTCAGCGAGTCCTCGGCTATTTTAAAATGACCCAGATCTGGTGAGTTTGGAAAAATCTCAACTGAGAGGTGAAACACAACACGAGGACGAAGCTTTAAAACCAATAATAAAAAAAAAAAAACATCAATTGAATCTGAAAAGCTGAATTTTGTAAGTAATGTCTCAGATTTCAGGCTGATGATTCTTAGAATTTAAATCCTTTCCACCAGAGACTTAAAACAATACCTTACACTTCAAAATCCAAAATGTATTTGTATACCATCTTCAAAACACCTTCCTTCTTGCTGCCCCCAACACACAAACACACACACACACACACATGCAGGCCAAACACACACCTTCAACGCCCTCAACATTTAATGTAACAATGATTCAATATGTCATTAGTTCCTGCTATGTCTGATTTTTGCTGTAACACATATTGTCACATCCTCACATAGTACGACTCTTGTAATCTCTCTTACTTGTCCTGTATTGTTTTGCATGAAAAAACATTTAAAAAAGCATTTACATAGATTTATATGTAACTTTTCTTTGCTTTTCTGCACAAAACAGAATCACTCAAATTAAATATTCAAGCGGTCTGTGTGTCTCTCTTCACTGATCGTTTTCTTTGTGGCCACATATTTAGACCTTGACTCCTTCAGGCTTCTGGGTCAGGATTATATTACAGTCAGCAGCAGGAAGCTCCTGCTAACATCCCTGATCCATTAACAGACTGCTTCCTGGTCGATGTACAAGTCCCAAATGTGATTATACTGCTCATAAAAAAAACACACGGCTGAGGTTAGGAGGGAAAGTGTTCCTGTTCCATACCAGAGAGTCTCCTCAAACAGCTTGGATTAATGTGGTCATATACTGCTGGTTGTTTAATATTTTGTATGCATTCTCCAATTAATTACATTTTGGCAGTAACTATTTTCATGCAGGAGTAATGTCGGATGAACAGCTGGATGCAGTCGATGTTAGCATGCAGTACAGTAAAAAATATGACTGCAGGGTTGGTTAAAGAATTGTAATATTTATCATTAAACTAGACCTAGATTTACACGAGATGGTGTTCAAAAGCAAGAAGCTAATATTTTAATATTCTTTACACACTGAGAATGATATCAGTCATTTAAATGTTGTCAGCGTAAATGCTTTTTCTCTTGGGTTAAGAATTGAGTAATACGCTCTCTCCTGGTTTGGAAATGTCATCCTGAGTGACTCAGTAGTGTGACCTCATGGTTTGATGAGCGTAGATGCATGCTGAGAAACTGTAACGTGTGGCTTTGTTACATGTAATCCCTCTCACTTTGCTACACTCGCTCACAGTCAGTCTTTCATTTCAACCCCTAAAGGCAAAATGCTACTCCCCTAAAAAAACTCATTTTTTAGCCACACTGTAGATTCCATTCCATCATTTTGAAAGCAGTTTGATGCTAACCGCTGGCTTCACTGGAATTACTGAGGAATTGGCATCCGTTAGCAGAGGTATATACTTCAACCAGACGATGATAAATGATAATTTCTAACGGGTTACCAGATTATCCCTTAATTAAGAAGTTAAACTGAATTAACCTTCACTGTTTGCAACATCAATGATGCTTGCATACAAATGCTTCAATAAGGCAGAGTATGGATATTATATCAGAGTAGGGATATTATATCTATTTTTGGAGGATTTTTAAACCTCAAAATGAGAATTTTGTCTTTTGGTGCCCAAACATAATTAGACGCGATTTACTTTTTAACTTTGAATATTTTGGAGGAAAGACTTTAACTTGTGACAGAGAGATTTTTGCTGCAGCTTTTAGTCAAAAAAAAGTAATCCAAATAAAAAACGGTGGCTGAATATTTACCTTTAGTAGCCTCTGTAAAGGCAAATTAAGTAATTTTGCTAAAATGAGACGTTATTTCCCTTTTAATTCTGTTTTTCATTAATGTCTCATTCCATCAACGTCTCCTATTGATCACTTGAGGTGTATGATAACATAACCCTCTTAGGACAGTCAACATTCAGCCGTGCAATGCTGCATTTGCTTACAACACTCAGATAATACGTCATCACAAACATCAACCCAGTAGTTACTGACAGTCTGCCTGTCTGTCATTTTGCAAACACACAAACCGGTTGTTATGCTGCTGTAACATAAACCCGCCCGCTCAGCAGACTCGAGTTTCATACAGATAACAAAACCCTGAGACACTGGAGCCTGAGACACTGCTATCAATCATACCGGAGGATCTGTCGTATTATATCTGCTGCTGTACTGGAAGACTGACAAAGGATGTTATCAAAGAAACCTGCTGGTTTATATTAACACCAACTTCATGGATCAGTTGCTTCTTCAATAAACCAATCAGCCAGGAAACAGACACATACTGTATATGGAGAGCTGTGCTGTGGAGTTTCATTTAGCAAGAATCAATACAAAACATCCAACAGCGATGAATCACATCAACTGGACACTACCACACAAATCTGCAAGCTGAGGTTTAATTTGTTATCGTAGCTTTGTTTGGTTACCCTCCATTTTTTTTTGTTTTGTTGGGGGGGGGGTAAGGGATTATTGAAATCGAAGTGGGAGTTTTTGAGCCTGCTGTATTGCTGGTAAATATCTAATGTCATGCTAAAAGTTTTCCGGTGATTGGATCTTGGAACTTGCTAACCAGCCTAGCAGCATGACGCAATGGTGACGGAGCGCAACATGCTACACTCTGCAGACCACGCTCAGATGGAGGGGAAACAACAGCACCACCACATACAGCTTAATGCAAAAAAAAAACAATAATACAATACATGTGACTGTCCATCCATCTATTATCAATACCGCTCTTCCCATTCTGGGTTGCAGGGGGGGGGCTAGTGCTGATCACAGCTGTAATTGGACGAAAGGCTGTGTACACCCACTGGTCACCATGTCAGTCACAGGGCTGTCATGTACAGACAGACAGACAAACGTCACCAATCAACAAGCAACTAACAAGCAGATCGACTGTGGGGAAGAAGCTGGTATGCCAGGAGAGAGCCCACGCATTGCAGAGAGAACATGCAAAGATCACCAACAGGTCTTGCAATGCTTTGCTTCACCCTCCAGCATTGACAGTTTGACTGGCAAAGTTCTCTACAAAGCATTCTTCCTTCTGATGCCTCATAACTCGTTGTCTGCATCCACTTTTGTTTTCTCAAAGGTTTCAGATTTTCCTATCCGGTGCTGAAAAGAAAGAGGTTCTTTCAGCCTGTTAGTTTTGCATAACAACGATTATCTACTTTTGGAATTTTTTTTAAAATCAATCAGTGGATAAAAACCTTAGAGAGACAGTTGGGTGGCTTAAATATAACTCATCAAATAAGAAAACTTACATTGAATAAAACTTACCAGATTGAATTAGGTTAGGGGGTTCACAATGACAAAATGTGAGGATTTAACAGTGGAAAACAGCTTGTACAGATCACCAAAAAGAGCTTTACTGCAAACACTGGACATGCCACTGAGTGACCTTTGATGATATTTAAATCAGCTCAGTGTCAGCGATGCCCCGGTTTGTGTTCGGAAAAGTGAGGATGAGATGAGAGGGGAGGAGGACGGGGAAGCTTGGGGATCTATTTTTAATCCCTCACTCGATGTTTAATGCCTGTGGATGGTTGTGTGGTGTGATTCCCTCCCAGCCTGCAGAGACTCGTTTAAACCTTCATCTCTCTCGCTCTCTGAGCTCCATTAAGTATTTTTAACCAGCGCTTCACAGCACATCGTCCTCTGCTCGGCTGCCTGCACCGCAGATCAGCTGCAGCTCTGTGGGTCAGACGACACACAGGAGAAGGAGGCAGCGGGTCATCATCACATATTTATAGTTCTGTTTTTTTTTTTTTTCAATTCTAGATGGTTTTAGAATAGAATAGAATAGAATTACTTTTTTGATCCCAAACTGGGAAATTGTGGTTTAATTTTTATTTTTTATTTAAACCATCAGCTGGTCCAATCACTGTGACGCTTCATTGTTTTTGCCCTTTACAAAAAAACTTACTGATCCAAGCAGTTGTCATCGTTTCTTTAATTTGCCAATCAGTGCATTTTCTTTACATATTAACCTTGTGCAAAACGTTATTCTGATTTTGTATTTGAAGTGTTTTCTGATCTGTATTCTAAGATCAAGTTATCTGAAGCGTTTTGCTCCATGTTTGCAGTCGGAT